GATCATTCCTACCAACTTTCAGTTCAATCGGCCCAGCAGAACTTGACTTTAAGTTTGAAATGTAAAATGTTAACGGACGACGGACGACGACGGACGAAAACGGATAGCAATAGGTCACTTGAGCTAAAGCTCAGGTGACCTAAAAAGTGCCATTGTAGTTACTGCTCTATACTTCATTGGGTAGTTACAAGAAAAGTGCCATTGTAGTTACTGCTCTATACTTGGTTCGGTGGGAACAAGAAAAGTAACAAACACAGCTGTAAGTATAGATGGTTTATTGACACAGCATGACTTTACGTAAGGACTACAAGCTGAAGGCAATCATGAGATGCAGTAATTTAATGAACATAAATGTCAGTCAGATGTCCCGAGCCTATATGGCTAAGGCCTGTACAAATAGAAGTGACATTGAGCAGTAAAGGTTGTCTAGAGTTGGACAGGATCAGGACTACACAAACAATTAACACAAATCTGGCTGTGTTTACATTATCTTTGACATTTAACACTAACAAACATAAAAAAAACAGTTTAGTCTCAAGAGCCAAAGACCGTCGTTTGTGACAAGGTCACAAAGATGTCAACATTTCAACCAGGTCAACATAGTGTAACCTGGGATACCAGTTCACAAAGGTCATGGCCATGGTAACCAGGTTACAAAGGTCATGACCTCGACTATGTCAACAGCTTGTGATCTTGCACAACAAGTCAAAATCTCGTGACCATGGGTACCGAATAGTGAAAACTCATAAAATAAACCCCTATTAAATTGTGGACATCTTAAGTGCATACGATGTGTAGTTTATAGAGAAAGAATACATTGCAGGTACAATCAAATGAAAAATATAAAAAATAATGAAGAACATAAAAATCTACATTTTGTTTTTTGAAACTTAAAATACATTGGTAAGCAGGTAAAATCAGGGTGATAATTGTTTATTTACAAGACACATAAAACATAGTTCATTCATAACATGAAGAATCACAGTACTACATTTGGCGCAATTAAAATGGAAAAAAAATGGCAGGGAATTGAAAATATGATGTCTAATGGCTAACATATAAGACCCTTACTTCATTCTTTGCTGACTCTGTCTAAATTTACATGAAGGTCTGATGCCAACAACATGATTTGCAGTTAATGAATGTTATCAAACCTTAAAATGTTGTTTTTGAAGTGAGGGTAACTACATTACATATGGTGGTAGAGTATAATATGGACAAATTTCTTTTTATCTTAATTTAACCTTTGTCTCTGCAATATCTTAATTTAACCAGAAAATTCTAATGTTTTTAATTTACTAAATATAGATATTTACAGCAAATAATCCTGCTCTTTCATTTATATTGCTAAATATCTAATTTGAAGTCGTCAAACCATTACTACTGTTAGGCATTGAGATATATATACATCATTTTTATTGTAATATTTGCAAAGTTTTATATCAATTTTAAATACTTGTAAATAGGAAAAGGTTTGTTATAATTTATTATTTGCATACGTGGATAACATTTCTTGACTCCAATGTGCATGCACAGTAAATCGTAAGCTACCTGAATGTATTAATCAAACAATCACTGCCCATTATAACGTGAATATATCCATAAATACAATAAATACTCAAATTGGAAAGACGGTAACATTTAGTAGCTAGTATTTAAAAAAAAAATCAACCAGGAATTTTAGAATGTATAAAGCACATTGCTTTCATTTCCCACAATGGACATATTATCTGAATTTAAATTTGTTTCTGAAATTGTTTTGACTGAACAACATTTTATTTTATTTGATTTTCAAACAAAAAAAACAAGCTCACAAGCTGCCAGAGATACTAAATATTCAACATATCCAACCTAAAAAAATGTATTGAGTTAATCATGTAGTTGACTAGTGACCTAAATTACATAAAACGGAATACAATTTACAAGCCCATTTCTAAAATGGTTTGACTACACTTAATTACAGGTTTTGTAAATTTAATGTTGGTTTATAGTGAAACAAAAAGATCAACTTGGATATCAACGACATGTAAACAGTAATATAATGGTGTACAAGTCGACAAGTTCACTTGCCCCAGTGCCACGCACGTTGCAGGTCATTTCCCCCTCCAACAGATCAATAAAATAGACTTAACCCAACCACAACTCGACCCCCATCTTGTCGCTAAACTCCCAATCGAAATTCAACATCACTATCAACCCGACAAACAGTTTTAACATGATTTGTGATGTTTCCCAAAACGGGAGTAAACCCTTAGACATTAAGTCTGTCAGGTACGTATATTTGGGTATTTTAACATTAACTCCTGTTTCTGCACAAAGGCATAACTCCAATTGTGCAACCAAAATGTAAAACCGACAACCAGCATACCAGTATGGAAATATACAAAATAAATTGGCAAGCCCAGATATAAAAATTTACTCACATAGAACATTAGTACACTTAGATTTTCTTTCTCACAAATCAAGTGTTATCTTTTTAACAATGAACTCTTCCATCTTTGTAACATTGTGATAAAAATTATTTGAGAAAATTGCACATTTAAGCATGATTACGATTTCCAATGTCATGCATTGTCTATCTTTTCTGCTTTCTTCCAGTATGAAAGACATTTTTCGTCTTAGTAAAAAATGATCCTGGTTAAGTTCATGTGATTCTTTTTATCTGCTCATACACATACTAGACTTACAGATAGTGCTCAAAACACCAAGAAATGGAGAAATAGAGAAATGGAACAATGGTAAAATGCTCAGGCAGACAGGAACACTGTACAACATAGGGGTGGAGAAATAAATGCACTGAACTTATCTTTTACAACATTAAATGATAAAGGAAGGGCGTCTCTGTTTTTTTGCGTGAATATGAAACAGTGCTGCCTCCAGGTGTGTCAGAACCCAATAAAAGCAGGCGAACCACAGACCAAGTCATGTGTGAATGTGACGATTTGGTTTATATGTTTTGTCGAGACAGAACTACACTTACGGGACTGACATCTGACACAAAAAGACTCTATACACTCAGTATATTTACACACAGTTAGTATTGCAACAAGCCTGGGTCAACATTCACCCAATTTGAGAGTTACTTCCCTTTGAACACAAAAATGTCTACGAACCCTTAACTCTAACCTCCCCCTTCCTAAATATGACCTTCATCTCCTTGAAATATTTTTTTTTCTGTGTTTATAAGTATGACCATGTGCACATACACCATTTTTTAATTAAACAAAATATTTTCATGTCGATGAAGTCTAAATATATTATTCTGAAGCAGAAAAAGCAGAATTAAATGTAGGTTACAAACATCTCGCACTACAAGCTGTGCAGAGATGCCATCAAAACACTGCTGGGACCCTTCAAGATCATTCATAGTAAAATACATACATAATGGCTTAATGAATGGAAGAGCATGTTTTCATAGATAGATTGATTTCTTTCGAGCAATGTATAAAATAAAAACAAAAGTTAAAAACGAATAAAACAAAGGAGCTGTTTGAAAAGAAAACAGGGAAAGCACCTATCCCCCTACCTAACAGGTCAAGAAATGTTTTCTCTCATCCGTCAAGCACTAGTGCCATAAGGAAAAGGACTACAAGCTGTAATTGGTCACCATCATCAATCGTCTATGCTCAACTTCAGGTGGGGTAAACTGCCTACATACCTGCCACACGCACACTGCCATTGTCTACCCTGAATCCTGTGGCAGATGTTTCAATTCAAGTGTGACCGTTTGTGCAACAGAGAGAATGGTAGGTATTGCCATTTGTCTCTAACATTTCAGACAGGCAAAAAAGAGCACAGTCCTTCATTGAGACTGGACTAAACAGACATAATCAAAACATTTGAAAGTAAGGATTTGAATTATTTTTTACATCAAGCAAATGTCTGTGGTAACTACTGGTGGCAAACCCAGCAACATGTTAACAGCCAGCTCAAACCCGGCAACAAGTCGACAGCCGGCTCAAACCTGCCAACCAGGCAACAGCCGGCTCAAACCCGGCAACTAGTCGACAGCCGGCTCAAACCTGGCAACCAGTCAACAGCCGGCTCAAACCCGGCAACATGTCGACAGCCGGCTCAAACCTGGCAACCAGTCAACAGATGGCTCCTTTATAAAATGGTCTACCAGACCAGCACATCTACTCCCGTACGATGCTCGCAATATTGCTTGCGGCTCTGTGCTTTTCTCTCCGTTTCAATCCTCGGGGGAAGCGTATGTATGAATAAGCTAGGGGAAAGTCTGCATATACATATTACTGAGTTAATCTGTCCACAGGAAGCTACAAGCTCCATCCCAATATGTCAGTTCTAAAAATTGGACCAAAAATGTTTAAAATACTTGTCATGTCGACACATGTGTCTTTTTCCAATATTTCTGTTCTTTACAAATCACAAGCAAAACAGTCAGCACAAACGTATGCCTCTGCTCCATGCAATTATAAAAAGTTTGCATCACTCCGCATATAAAGATCACATGACTTTGTCACATGTCAATTTGCAACTCTCGAACTAAATGGCACTTTCTTTACTTTCTTTATTCTTGGCCTTGCCAAAGGAAGGCATACGGAATTTCTTCTTCTTTTGCTTCTGTTTGTCCTTTGATGGTGATGGGTGCTCTTTAGTGGGAGAGCCCTGCGGAAAAAGAAATATAATTATATCTCCAAATACTTTCTATTAATGGAGTCTTATCAAGGAGCCACACCCTTAAGAAGAACAGAATTTCATAATCTGATAATGTAAATTTTCATGTCACAAGTTTTATGTCAACAAGCCAAATGTTGAACTGATAATGGCATCATGTTACATTGCCAAATGAAGCAAATGTAACATAATGCCGTAATCAATTCAGCATTTCGTACGAGCATTGTTAAAAATGCCATGGACTTGTTCAAATCACTAGTCAAATATGTCTTCAATCATTATTCCGTCCTTGCTTATTGCAGAGTTATCTTCTCTTGTGAGCAGGTATTGATTGTTACGTCATTGCTATGAGTGAGAAAATACTCTCACAAACCAATGACATAACAATCAATACCTGCTCGCACGAGCAGATAACTCTGCAATACGAAAAGACAGAATAAGCAAATTACAAAAGGAGAGGGGCAACTCCTGAATTCAAGTTTCCTCATATCTGTATTGATACTTGTGCTTTCTTCAATAAGTAATTGAATTAAAGTTGGTGTCTCTCAACCAATTGAATCAGGACTGACTTGTGAACGATTTAACATTATCTACGTAAAGGGATATTTATGGTATGGAAAAAAATCTGACTTAAGTTGTTTGGTGAAACCAAAACCTGCAATTACACATTTGCAAGCTGATCAATTACCGGTATGATGAAAGAAAATTTATTATCATTACGATCAGATCGGCAAAACCTTTTCTTAAAAGAATGACTTCTGATTGGTCAGCTGTCTTATAGTGTATAATCCTCACCTCTTTACTACTGCGATCTTCCAGTGTCTCTCCACCACTGGCACTATCTGTGGACTTCAACGTGTCAGATTTGGCGGGGGACGACGGCTTCTCGTCACCGTTCAGTTTACGATCTGAAATGGACCAAAGCAAAACCTATATACAACTAGACTGTAGGTAGGAATATTTAACTTCATGTAATTGTTAAAACCTTTTTTATTGAAAAGAAACGGTTGTAGTGATTTTTGGATGGCCTTCTGGATCGGAGGTTCAAATACACACATTACAGGGGTGTTATATACACTAAAGGCAAATGCATGCACAATACCAGGACTTGTATATGTCCAATATATTCCAGTTTACAGACAACATCAATATAGGTCGTGCTGATATATATATTTACTCATTTTGCAATTTACAACATTTATTGAAACTGGATCATTCAATACATAAAAGCAAAAACAATAATCAACACATATCTTGTGAAATATTGGTCATTTGTTGATAAATAATCTGCTGAAATAGGAAAATAATCTTTGGATAACTTCCACCAAAATTATTAAATATCTTCTATGTCATGCAAATAAGGCTAGATGAAACTTAAATTTCAGTTTACCACCCGAACCAGTATCATGCAAAAAGTGCATTTGTGAATCAGTAGAGTTGAACCTGTGTTAAGAGTATAGAAACCCTGGTCAACCTGTCTATAAAGGCCACCTGAGAGAGAAACAGGGACACCTGTATAGACAGGTGGTGACCTAGACAGACAGGTTATTATTGACGTAGAAAACTACATTAACTACATTCACCCCTACATCTTGAAACTGGACTTGCCCAGTCTTTGATTTGGTAAGGTTCAAATGTGACTGTAGGGGCCCCGAATGGGTTAAGGATATCTTCATGGCATTAGTTGTTCATAGACATAGTGCTCCCTTAGGTAGTTTTTTTCTGTAGAATTTAATTTGTGTTAAATATCTCTCACATAAATAAGTTCTTTTATAACCCTTTGCTTCAGTAAATGGGAAAGTAGCACCAAGTAAGAAATATGCCCAACTAACTAAGTTGTTGCTCATCTTTGATGAAGTTACCATGCAAAATGTTGGGTCTCTCTACCTTAAGTATCTTTCTAGTGCAGGCTTCATAGTTATAGAGAAATTTGGAAACAATAACCAGCACTACAGGGAAAAGAGAACAGATTACCTGAAATTTGTCACATTATCTTTTGCTTTTGTTACATTTTCCATAGCTATTTTTCTCATTTGCACACTGCTATTGGTTATTTGGACAAAATTAATTTCATCCGGTTTATCTTCAATATCATTAAATTTCATCAATATTTTTTTGTGGAAAAGGAAATTATCATTAACATATTTCTTGCTTTATAACTGTCTGCTATACTAAATGGGCAAGCCACTCCAAGTCAGAAATACGCAAAAAACAAATTGGAACTCTTCTTCTTTGGAGATACAATACAGCGCTGGTACACTCTAACCTTAAAACTGAAGCAGATTTAAGCTGGAGACAGCAGAAAATACAATCACAACTAGCTGACCATTGGTCAAACATGTCAAATAAGTGATTCACAAATTTAAAAAAAAATAAAAAAAATCCAAGAAACGTATTTCCATCCATGAATATGATATTGTTGTTTCAACTTGATAATATTTACCCAAAAGACTGGTAAGCATATTAAATATTTCCTGCAAACTCCAACTAAGGAGTATTTTGTTCTGCTGGCCAAAACAATTTAGATCTGCTTGTTTTAAATCATACTTGCCAACCCGCCTGTAAATTTGCTACACTTTTACCATATTCTAAGATCTAATGATTTCATCTGAAAGAACAACTCAAAATATGTCATTTTAAGGTGGTTGTTTGTCCCCAGGGAGCATTGCACACGTTCATTTATGTTTATTTTTTAGCATACAGCTTCTCCCCCATGGAAATTTTAAAAAGTTGGCAAGTAAGTTAAATGTATTAACTTTTATGTCTAATGCCGACAACATGTAAACCTTTGTTGATAAAGAGCACAGGGTGTTATGTACTAGAAATGAGAGGTGGTAGTGAACACAAATGCTGAAGTACTGTATTTCTATCTAGTTAATGTTAATCAATATGGAGAATACAAAAATCTAGTATGTTAAATACGACTGAGATTTTGAACTGCAGAGCTGAATGAAAATTAAAGCATGCCATCCATTGTAAGTCTTGATAATTGGATAAAAAGATAATAAATAAACGAAAACTTTACAGAAGATATTAACAAAACATGTACATAAAGTTCTATAAACGAAAACTTAACAGAAGATATTAACAAAATGATACCAAGATCTTAGTATTTTGTACCCTTGTTGACTTAGACTTCATTAAATAAAGCCTTTATACAAAGCAATGAGGTATATGACTTGATGAACTTGTACTTGTATTTGAATTTCCTTCTACTACTGAGAAAGTTAAATACTGATGATGATTGAATGCTTTTAAGTAATAAAAAGAACAAAATAAATATTCACCCAACACCACTATAACAGTAATAGAAGCTGAACCTAGTATGCAGATAACATTACACAGTTAGACAGAGCAACAAGACAGAGCAGGATTCAGGATTTGAGGAATCGGTTTAGCTGGAAAAAGCTTTTGCCAAATTGAACACCATATCTGACTGAAATTGGATCTTGTAATCTAAGTGCTCTTCTCAAAATGTTAATTGATTGGCTGAAATGAGAGATCTAAAGAACATAAACTCTTTTAAATGTTTTTATGATATGACATCATAACTGTATAATGGGAAATTTTCGCAGTCAAGTATTCGTGCTTTTCTGATAAAATCCATGTTCACCTTAATGCTAAATCTGCCATTCACATGTAATTACTATATGTTGTATGTTGTGTATATATATTTGCTCTCATGATAAGTTTGCCCTCATTAGGGAGGGCAAAAAAGGCGAAAATTTCCCGCAATACAGTAGCTCTCTCTCAGAACGTAACCACAATGCAATTAAATCCAAAATAATTTCATCACTGAACGAATACAAATTTTCCATTTTCTATGATTTCTTTTATATATTCTTTCTATTCTATCTTAAATCCCCAGAAGTTTGCTTAGATTACAAATGTAGATAGAATGTGATCTAATTCAAACCTCTGTGTTCGATGCCGAACATGTAGACACTTTCTAATGACAAACATTTAAGAAGCATGCAGATGTAAAATGTTAGCTAAATAGAAACGGGTTAATTGGCCATCCCAAGAGGATAGAAATGTAGTGTAATCCACTATCCCCGTGGAGAGTGGTTTTAGGAAGAGATCTCCATCCCAGGGGGATTGCGTATATACAGGTATCTCCTCCGTTCCGGAGGTGCTGCCACCTTACCTTTGCCTTTAGCTTTACGTTCAGACTTAGAGCGTCCAAAGTTGGACTTAGTGAGTTCCTGTATTACTGTGAAAAACAGTGAGCCTCCATTACAACAACTATATGGCTTCAGACAATCTGATGTTAGCACGACAGACTTGGATATACTTGTGCAAACACAATAGCGCGATCTCTAAATTATTAAAATGTGCATTACAGTGAACATATAGCATATCGATTTAAAAACCTGAATCATCGAATTTAGGACTACATTTTAGCACTCATGGATAAACCACGCACAAAAACATTTACAAAAAAATATTAATAAAACGTTAATTCAACTTATCAAGTATTATGCCAACATTCTATGAGCAGGTTTACTTGCACAAACATATGACTTATATATTCAACACTGTACATAAATATGTACACTCAGAAATACAAAAGGTGCTAAAATTAGAATATGGTAGGTTTTCAACACTGTGTGTTTGCATGAACTTGAAGAAGGATAATATTGAAGAAATCTACAACATTTATTGTTATCAATTAACAAGGGGAAAAACGCTCTAAATTAGTTGGAATAATAGTTCAAATTAAACCCATCACTTCCTTAAGTAGCCAGGAAAGAACAAAACATTAGCCAATATTATCGTGAAATGAAACTAGAGAAAATCGCAACTTTCCTTCACCTGCGTGTTTTAAATCAGGATGAAAATGATGTGATAATTAAATGTGAACCAAATTAAACCACTCAGTGAAATGAAATGTTATAGACGATTGGAAAATACACAACTATGGATATTTACAGAAAAACACAATTTAAGAATATGTAGCACGGTTTGAACTTTTTCACTGTGACAGCAAACTCTTTTAACAAATGATTTTTCAGATCAAATGTGATTAGCAAATGTAGTGTAAGGTTTTTCCCATATCCAGTAAATCCCAATAAATGTGGAACCAAAATTCAATTCTAGAAATTAAATATTCTTCATTCAATTATACAGGGAACTTGATGTTTTTCAGGACTATTTAGGGAAACCAAAATGTCAGGACAAAAAAAATATGCTGTAATGTAGTAACAAAGTTCACCGAAATTTCAGGGTCTTTAGGTCATAAGGTCATATAGGGCATGCTTACGTTCCGGACTTTTAGGGGGTTCCCGTGTGGACTCTGACCGCTGTAGTACGACGGGTGCCGGGGAGGTTGGAGAGGCAGGCTCTGTTACACATGCAAAAACAACATCAAACATGCTAAACCTTCTCTCCCCCATCCAGCCACCATGAACTCTACTGTCTTTGTTACAGACCAGTCCATTGGTAGGCAGTAGGGGGTGCAGCAAAGGTTAACTAGGAACACACAAACAAAATATACACAAATTGTACTGAAGCATGTTACATTGATCACACTTCTGAAATAAAGTCACAACATCGAAAACTATATCTAGAAATGCAAATTACAACATCCAACCAATCATAATAACACATTAAGGTACTCTGGAGTTATATGTTGCTGGTACTGTATATTTTTCAATCCAGTCATTTAAGAATTATGACAATTATCACAAATGATATATTTTTAAATAAGATAGTACCTGACAATGTCAACAATTTATGCACTTGACACTTAATCTTTCAAAACTTCTACAACAGTTACATGCACCAAGGTACTAAAATAAAGGTGTTATAATGTGAAGGTAGTTTTAGGCCCGTTTAGCTAGGATGCTTCAGTTTTCATGCAGTTTTGTTACCGATTTACTTGTAGCCATTCAGTGTCACTACCCCAATCTCAGTCCACAGAGCTAGTAATCACATTGTGGGTTTGTGATAGTCACAATATTGATAATTCAATGATGCCCAAACCCCAATCATAACCCCAATCAACCTGATTGCAAGTGAATTCTTTCAACCTTCAATGATTACAAAAATAAAAGACAAAACACCACATATTATAGGTATCACAGCAATATCAAACATGCTTGTATGATTTATATCTAATATTGTAAATCTGTGAAGGAAACAGCCTGTTAAAGGAGAAAGTCAAAGATGATGTGAAGGTTTTGTATTATTATACACTACCGCATGCAAGCCATTTCCAGTGTGTAAGGTGTTGCCTCCCCTATCTACATGTAGGATTGCCTCCCCTGCAAGCTAAAAATTGTAGTTCAAAACCTCCACATTATCTTGGTTATGTAATCACAATTTATTGACATCTAACAGCAAATCAAGTTAGAAGTGAAAATCAATTAGTGATCAAGATGATATTAAAGTGCCATAGGAATTCTAATTTGTCTTCAATTTCTTGTGTTTGTGAGCTGAAATTCTAAAAGGACTGGCAGTGAAAAATTGAAAAACATGTTCTCATCTACAGTTTGACAAAAAATGAACCAACAATTCATGTGAATTCAGAAGACCACAGATTCAAAGATCATATTTCTCATAACATTATAAACTGTGATGTTTTTGCCCTGCTAAAACAACCTCCCTTGCATTTTATATGATTTATATTCTCTATAACGATTCTACAGTATGTATCCAGCATGAAAATACTGACAGGAGGTTGAATTTATGGTTGTCATCGCCCGGGGCAAATCAATGAAAATAAAATTTGAGCAAGAATTTACCTTGGTAGTAATGTTCATGATATTCCCATGAAAAATTTACAAAATGGCTGTCGTTTTCCCTTTAATATCTACATAAAATGTATCCATTCTTTCCTATTCCGTCTTTGCGTATTGCAGAGTTATCTTCTCTTGGGAGCAGGTATTGATTGTTACGTCATTGGTTTGTGGGAGAAAATTAAGTTGTTTTCTCAAAAATTGATGACGTTCCTCTCACAAACAAGCAACCTAACAATCAACACCTGCTCCCAAGAAAAGATAACCCTGCAATACTCAAAGACGTAATAATTGCTTCTGATCATTTTCAGGCACTCTCTTCGAATAGTCAAGGAAGTATATTTGGAAAGATGCATCATTAACTCCTGAGAGGGTTTGATCTGAGAATCCGCGGTCGGTCTATACTACGATATGTGAGGGGTACACATTGTGCCACTAAAGATGAACCACGCAGACTTTGTTTGTACCTAACCGCTGAGAAGGAACGGGGGGAACATATACGTCATCTATGGCAGTCTCCCTCCAGGCACCCGATTTGGGTCGCCGATGTGCTAAAAAAAGGCAACAAAAATATGGGATTGCAATGAAACCAAGCATGACCAAAGAAGGGGATAATGATGATAACTAACAAGGGGAGATAAATGATATTAAATCATGTGAAATAAGTTTGGAGAAGCAGGGACACTTATTTTGTTAAATAAATTATATAATGGGAAAATGAAATGTAAAGAAACTCCCGTAAATGAAATTGTGAAATGGAATAAAATTTGACTTTCCAAAAAAATACTTTATTTTTTTTAAATTCTGCTAAAAAGCTATTTGTAAACCCACAGTATGGAAATTATGATCTTTTTTATAATAAATGCAATGATGTACCATTTAAATATATGTTAGAATATATAAAATATGTTTTCCATTTGAAAATTTTCTCGATTACATAAATATATGATTATCTTCTTGATTACATAAAAATCCAATGCATATATGCCAGTTAAATTTCAAAGCGCTCAATAAATTGCTACAAATTATTTTCCAATATATTATTAATCAATGTCCAAGTATAGTTTTGATGTATATCTTTGGTCTAGTAGTATTTGTGAATATAATTTCTGTAAATTTCCGATTAAAACTTCCAAAAAAAAACATGCCTGTCCCCCCAATATATATATTTTTGAATATATATTTTTATAATCTCCGAGTATCACTGATATATATTAATGTCTGGCCTGGGCAGATATCAGACTTTCATATCCAACCTTATCTAGCATTCCTTTCTCTTGTTCTCCTTTCAAGGATACCTTGTCTATAAAACAATATATTTTGAATTCTATAAAATTCTCGTTCAGCTTCAAGGATCTCATCTATCAATCTGATTCATGGTTACAGAATAATTCTTTCAAGCAGTTTTCTGATTACAAATATATTTTTCCACTTATTCCTCTGATTTATCAATGTGTAGATGGATAAAAGTTCAAGCGTTTGGCATCGGATGAGTAGCTTCCTTTCAGGGAATTAATTATGTAATTGACAAGATTAAAATACTTCAAAGACTAGAATTTCCAAGTATTCCCTCATAACAACTGGACAGATAATTTGACATTTTTAAACCTATGCTATATACCGACGAAACACTCTCCTAATAACTGTAATTGGAGCCCCATGATGATGGATAATGTTACACACAAATTACAGTACGACTAAAATGACATTATGATCGGTGAATAAAAATGCACAAACCCCGCGTATGAATTAAAACGAGTAAAAACTAGAACCAACTCCGCACTAAAACCCTGCATACAGACGGAGCAAGCGCACGACTACACGAGAACGAAAGTGAGGCTGGCACCCACCCTGATACTTATCGTCAGTGCTGTACATGTGGCTAGGCGGTACATAGGGGTCTAGTATATCGTCTATATTGGTCTCCTTCGACATTCGCTTCTTGCGAGGAGCTGAGACTGTGAAGAAAATGTGTTTACGTATTTAAAGGAAATCCAGGGCAAGCAAACGATGTACAATGGTGTGCTGCAGTGTCTCTAGCAAATAAAATGTTTAACGTCTGAACAAAATAAACTGGTTAATTAGGAGATGATAAAGCAAACATGGACATAGACTTGTAGGTGTAGACAGGAACATTTAACAGTAAACTTTGAAACAACGGAACAACGAACGGGAAGTCAACTGAATTTTGACTTCTTTTAGTGTAAAACCAACCAAAGCGTAATAAAAAACAAGGAAAGGGGGCAGACATAAAGACAACAAAAACAGGAGGAAGGATAATATGTACATTGTAGAATGTCTCGTGAATGAGAACCAGATAGTATGTTGTATACAGAAATCGTACATATATTGAAGTAGAGAGTGATGAGGTATATGTGCAGGACAAATGAAACTGATGAACTCTGTCTGCCAATGATTTCAGTCAATATTGCAGACCTGTAAATAAATTGATCTTGATTGGCACGTAGAACTGCCAGCAGTCGGCTGGTGAAATCTAGTGATCATAGTGGTACAGTAGTTACATTACAAGACTGGCACCTCATGTCAACTTATGGCAGTCTTTGACCCGTAATCTCCTCTTTAACAAAGCAAACACATAGAAAGATGACAACCTGCTGATAAAGTATAGTCTTACATAATGCTAGGGATGACTCCATCCCTTATTAAACATGCATGAACTTTCTAGTAGCTCCTGTGAAAAAAATGTCTGTGTTGACTAGCCATGTTACCCGCTACAACAGAATGATGGGTGTGGAAACATATCAATATGCACACTTATCAAATATTGAACCAATGAAAGATTTAAAGCAATTTGTCAGTTTAAAGATCCCTCCACAAACACTAGGACGCTGTACCAAGTAAAATTTCGGCTGATAAACAATTCAATTTTGATACTCATTTTCTTTTACCATTAAGAAGATTATCTAGATATAATTATGTCATACAAATTTAATCAATAAATCTTTGGTCTGTTGAATTTTTTAAATTATCTTGACTGATATGAACAAGAGTTTGATTTCAGTTTCATGGAGAAATAATGGCTGAGAACAACAAATTTCTATGTATAGTGTCTCTTTCAATTTTGAACTTTTATGTTCATTGATGGTATATAAGTTTAATTTTTCAGTAGGTAATAAATACAGCCACATGTTTGGGACTTCCAGTACAAACAGATTAAAGAATATATATTACATCAAAAGCAACTTTGTTCAGACTTGAACACATCTTATAATAGCTTATAATCATTTGAGCAGTGACTATAATACAAAAGTGCAGAATATTTATTTAGACGGTATGGTAATCATTGGGTAGTTTTGAAAGTTAATTCCTGATATTACATAATGATTATGTATTACATATGTGAGTGATACGTTCTGCCATTTAATGGTGGTTGAACCTCCATGCAGTGTGAATGGATTATAGGAACAATCAGAAACATGACTTGAGAGCATGCAACCAGTATAGATCACAAAACTGGAACATTGTTCCAACACAGGATACTGAAAGTAGCATGAAATAGGTACAAACAGGTTACAGGACATTCTAGGGAGCGTGGTACCTGTATAGGTTATTCCTATGGAGCGTGGAAAAGTAAAAAACACTCTAGGAAGCATTGTGCCAGTACAGGCTACTGTGGAGAGCATAGCATCAGTATGAAACACAAAATAGGGCACTGTAGGGAAAAGTGGTATCAATAGTAAAATAGTCACATGCATGGTACCTTTAACCATTTCACCCATATGCAACTTTAGTAGACTCTACCATGCATTCATCTGGATGAGTCCATTATGGTCTACAGTGGTGAAAGGGTTAAAGGATACTGTATGAAGAATGACATAAGTACAGATACAGTAGGGAGCATGATATCAGTATGCGCTGCTGTGGGATGCTCTATGGAGCATGCTACTACAGGGAGTATGACATCAGTATTGGACACCATAGAGAGCACGGTATCAGTGTATGATGCTGTGAGATGATCTGTAGAGTATGGTATCAGTACATGCTACTGCAGGGAGTATGACATCAGTACAGGGCACCATAGGAAGCATGGTATCAGTGTATGCTGCTGTAGGGAAGAACTACTGACCTGCCGTACTGGGAAGGGGAGACTGAGTGGGAGGGGTGGGATTTTTGGTGAATACATCATCGTCGTCGTCATCTTCCGTCACCGGGGACTTTGAAGCAGTGTTTAGCCTGGCAGTCACTGTCGCTCCAGACTGACCGGACACACTACCAGCTGAACGCACTATCATGCAATTACAACAAGCATGCAAGGTAATACAGTCTTAAGTCTACAGGCACAGTGTCGGACATGGCTTTGTATGCTAAGGTTCTTGGACAGTATTTCACTTAAAAGAGTTAAGCATTTCAATCAATTGCAGATAACGTACTATCCAAACTGGATTTTTTCATTTAACTTCGTTTTTTCTTCAATATTTTCAAATAATCTTAAACAACACTTTTTTTCCCACATTTAGATCAAAATATCTCAAAATAAGTTTGGAAAGTGTATTGTCAAAAGAATAAAGTTTTTTCTTGTCTTTGTATTATAAACACTTTAGGAATTTCTGGATCGGTTCTTGAATATTTTACAACACAAAAAGCCAAGGCCAATATACTGAATATGTCTTGGCAGTTACCTTGACCTAATGTTAGGACTAGACGACCAGTCTCAATTGATAATAGGCTTAGTTACAAGACTATGATCAATTATTTATTTTTTAATTAGATAATACGACTTTGATCAATTATTTATTCTTTAATTAAATTAATTTCATGAATTTAACATATCAATATTAAGTCAAACTTGACTTGATATTGATCAACTGTTTCTGAAAATGTCTGAATTTCAAACTTCAATTTTTCAAAGCTACAAAGTAATTTCACTTAAGCAATTGTCCTAGTGAACTGTTGTCTAAAAGAAGATATTTTTTCAAATAAATGACGTATATGCATTTAATATTTTAATACTAACAGTTCACTAAGAATATACAAAAGCATTGGATGGTTAGTAAAACGAAATACAGGCAAATATGATAACATCCGATATAACATTTTTTTTCCACCACCAAAGTAATTTGCATGTTTATATTTGCCGATACTCGTAGGAGTAACCACACACACTAACGACTACAATGATACAAATCTATGCAAACAGTATATATACAGTACACTCGACTACAAGCAAAGCAGTAGATAACATCTAACAGTATATAATATTGTCAGTGACCTTTTCCTATAGCAATAGGGAGAAAACAATGGCCTTGTACATCAATATATTCACTACACAACAAGACCATGGGAGGATTGTCACTTGTGTCATCTCTCTACTATGATCGGAGATTACTGGGTTTTTTCACCTTTTTTATTTTCACTTTCAAAATCAGAGGAATTCTCAATACTGCTTTCTGCACAAACTATTTTTGTTCATCATATAGAACAGTGAAACTATGGCATTTTGAAAATTTTGCAAGTTTCTTTTTCATTGTAAGTATATCTCAAGACTTTTTTTCCAGATTTTGCCAGGGTTTGACCATTACAAAAATTACTTTTTTTTTTTTTTTGAAAAGTGATAAAGTGTATTGCTTGTGACAATTTCCCAACTCTGATTAAATGTGTAGATAAAATTGTCTAACAGAAATAGGTCACAAGAAAAACACTCGTTCCACAACATCAACAAATAGGAAAGTCAGACTCTGTACTTCTCCACTGAACAACAGTCAAATAATAAGTGGTAAGGGAAAGGGGAGGCAACTCACCCTCTTCAACAGGTCTTGTTTCCGTCAGCGAAGATTGTGACGACTTCTGTTGCTGTTGTATGGTCTGCATGCGCTCGTCTGTGGAGATGAGTTTACCATCTGGGCCTGGCTCCATTGTATCTTTTAAAATTAAGACTGACTAATAAGTTATGGATCATTTAATCAAAAAGGTCATATATGGCCAAAAAGCAAAATATACAATGTCAGCACATCTTTTTTCGTATTAATTTCAATTTCACAAATACATTGTATTTTAACACCCAGATTAATTACAAAACATGATTCCGTTATTCCTGATTATCTATTCTTATTTGTAACAGATAAAATATTGAATTATTTCATAACATATAAGCAGATATTTTCAGGACCATGAATAAGATTGTTTGTTTGATATTTAAAAACCCATCAAGGCAACGATGTGATCAATACTGTTCGGGACCATTATTTACACAAAACTGGGCCCAAATATAACTGGCCTTTCTGGAAAAGTGTTACTGCATTTAATACATGTACACATATCTACCACTACAAAATTAATTGAAATAAAAAATACAGAATACATTCAAAGTCCATGTCTTACTATTTTTGGTTCTATGAAACACTAATAATATTTTGGACAAAGAAACAGTTAACTAATCTAGGCATTTTGCAGTTACCGGGAAACTTTCACCCGTCATATTTTCGCCCATCACTGGTAGAATATGTTTTTGCACAATGTTAATTTTGCTCTTTACACATGTTATTGCTAAGTAAAGTATGTTGTGTACTTATTTTCACTGTCGTGATAAATTTGCCTTTATTAGGGCGGGAGAAAAAGGCGAAAAATTTAACTGCAGCATAAATTTCCTGTTATACTGTATTGCATGCAGACTTATGATGGGCAATCGGTTTAAAATCATCATTGATACTCGGTTTGTAATTGGAAGTAGCAAATCGCTCGATGATCAATTGCATCATCTGGTTATAATTTGTTTGGGACTTAATACCCAAATAAAGTGATGACACTACCATTACACCAATAGACAGAGTTGTTCACTACACACTAGGTTTGTTCTTTTATAATGAAAGGACATCAAGCAACTTTTATACATTTATATCAATCATATAGTAAAAATCCTAACAATGTTTACATATCTACCACTCCAAAATTGATTAAAATAAAAAAAATACCAGTGATGGGCGAACATATGACAGGTGAAAGTTCCCCAGTAACTGCAAAATGCATAGATTAGTTAAATGTTTCTTTGTCACAAATATTATTAGTGTTTTCATAAAGCATACTTTACATGGAAGTCATTTTAAAATACTTTGATTTCAATGATGGACTGATTAATCAATCATGGAATTTGTAATCGATAATCAGAATCAGAAATTGCAAACCGATCGATTTTCGATTATGATCGATCATCATCCTTACCTGGTTCACCGGACCCCACAGGACCTCCCTGTACCTCAATCTTATACCGTTCAATTTCGTCCTCAGTCATCGACTCAAAGGGGTTGGCCTGGTACTGAGACTTGTACACCTGTACGTTATGTTGCTGGTCGCGTTGGATGATGCCCTTGGATGCGGCTCCGATCACGATTATGCTGTCACCCACCTGACTTAGGGAACCGTCCTACAATGAATCAGTGAATTTAAATCTGGTTTGGTTTTTACAGTCACTGCGACCTAATTATAGTGTTATAAAAAATTACCTGTTTTCACGAAAAGATAAAAAAACCTTCTGTGTATTAAAGTAAACATTATGATTTAAAATGAAGTTCGGTCAAAGTGACTTAAAAGAAAAACCTTACTAGATGAATTATGAATATGATCAGATGTGATGACAGCAAAACAATATAAAATATTCCTAAAGTGAGTCTTTTCCACCCATATCAAATAGCAATTTAATAGATAGGCAAATTTATCAACAGACTACTGTATACCAGGATATTTTGCCCTTCGACAGTTAAATCATTTTCGCCAAATATTAAATTTGCCCTTCACATTTAATTACCATGGATATGATATTGTTGACAAACGTTCACTGTAATGATAAATTCGTCCATGTTACGGAGGGCAAACAAGGCAAAACTCAAACCGCAGCGAATATTTCCCAGTATACAGTAGTCTAAAGATTTAATTTTCCACATGGACGTATTTCTTGTTTCTTATGAAACTTAATCCTTCAAGAATGTAGGGTATTTCACAGTATATCATATGAGCATGTTTATGGAATAGGTAATATTTATGATTACAAATGCCAAGTATCAATTGATTTGCTGCCAAATGATGACATCAGGAGAAAATGAACTTGTGAAATGATCGATCACATCAGCATAAAGAGGTAGATTTTTTTTAAAAAGAAAAACATTTTAATAACATATAAAAAAGGCATTACCAAATTGAAATAAAATTTCAAATCACTAAACTATTATGAGCAATAAGCATAACAATGAAAGCAATTAGTTGACATATGCATGATACAACATCATAGATCAAAAACATACACAGCTACGTGAAATTTGACATTTAACATCTCAGCACAATTATAGCGAAATACAGCAAATCTGAAATGTCTTTGATCATCAATCTGCTTGAAAAAGCCACTTAAGCGTTTTTCTGTGCAGCATCATACATTTTATCCTCTTTGAATTGTGCTCAGTTTCAGATCCGGTGAAAGCTTCAGGCAGCCATAAACACTGATGTAAACATCAGTGACGTGCATCATGCCAATATAGCTACCACATTTTGTCTCTTAACTCATTCAACCCTGAAGATACATTCGAACTCCTCCAATTCAAAGGTTGGAATAGTTCATTATGAAGTTTCAGGAGTGAATGAGTTAAAACTAAACTACTGCAATTTGTTAGAGGATTTCTTTTTATTTACGTCAAATTTTCCACAAAAGCATCAACACTTCCAGCTCTGTGAATTTCGGTGAGGTTAGATGAGAAGCAAACCCGATTCAACTGAATAGATGTGAAATTATTTGATTATTTCACTAAGTCACTCAAGGCAGTTGGAGACACAATGTCCCTTATAAGTTGAAAATCCGGAGCTATTTAGATGATAACCGTCATGGATACATGTAGTATACAGAATCCCTGCTAATAGCTCAACAGTGACAAGTTTCGGAGCCAAAACATGTCCATACCATGCCTGAATATATCATCTATACTCAAAATTCTGCCATGTGGTCCCAGCTTCATTGAAATTTATTTCATGAAGTGCAAGACTAAAGTAAACTTAATATTCAATTTATTCAAAATAATGATAGAGAAAATGAACTGTATTAGTTATCACTGTTTTAGTTCACATTATAAACTACTAAATACCTAACTCATTCACCCCTAAAGACACATTTGAAGTCTTCCAATTCAAAGGTTGGAATAGTTCATTATGAAATTTCAGGGGTGAACGAGTTTAGTCAAAACTGGTTATAGTTACAGAAACAGGAAATGTTTCATGAAAACCAACATTGGACTATGGAATACTAAGTTACAAATTAAGTGAAAGCAGACAGATTATTCCAGACATTAAACCGATACAAATTCTGCTACTCACAGTTCAATCTTGATAACAACATCATGTGATTAATTTGTTATTGTTTTCATGCCAAATACTGTATTATCATTGCTTCATGTTTTGTTTTCATGTCAAATACTGGCATATCGTTAGTTATAAATCTACATGAAAATGTATGTATCAACTGTTAAATGTGTGACATTTATGGATGCAACAACAACAAGCTAAAATGTTGTTATGACCTTTAATTATGCAATTGAAAGTATTATGGTGAATAAAGTGCAAATGGCAAACACAAGTTTTAGACCAAGTTTTGTCAATATTTCAATGAAAACATACTTGATAAATTAGTTATAAAGCAATGATGGGAACTTTTCGGAAAATTGTTGCTGTCCGTATTGGCAAACTGATTTAAGAATCCAGTATATAATTCTTATACTCAAACTGTTTGCACACTCTTTTCTTATTTTTTTCTTTGTACCTCAATGATTTCCAAAGAGTTATCATCACTGCTTTAATATACGTTAAGTCTGGATCAGGTTTACAAAGGCGGGACTAAGCACATCTACACATGTTAATGAAATTATCTCATTTTTCAGACTATTTTGGGAAAGGGACTTGGGAAAAACTTGGAAAACACAAACATAACTGAAATATCTCAGGATTATTTCACTTTAGTTTCAGAACACGAACAATAGTTTTTCAGAGAGTTCTTTGAATAACAATTTAATTCATTTGGAGCAATATTGTGACAAGGTCACTTGAATTGAGGAAATAATGCATACAACTTGGAACATATCAGATCCATTTCCTTTCAGAAGTCTTTTTATCTGACCTTGTTAAGTTCCAAAAAACAGTCTAGAATACAATAATTACCTAAGAACCTAAAGGTAGAATATGTCCTCCACCAATCAGAACCTATCCACTCACAATGAGTTATAACTGACCAATCAATGTCCGGAAAATCTGGTGTATACCTGTATAACCATTCAGAGTGACTATAACATGCATATTGCTAGCTGTTTAGGTCTTCCATATGCCATGCCGACTAGTAGACCAACCCTAAACCTACTTATATATCAGTCTTTACAATAGATTTCTAAAAGGGGGAATAATATTTCAGTAAATAATTTGAACAAATTAGCACATTCAAGCAGAGAGTCCCACCACTTTTCTATTGTATACAGGCCTTGAAAAGTAATTTATTTTCTCTGTTAAATTTATTTTGTTTTCTCTTCACTTATACAAAGATAATTATATGATGCAGGCCTTTCAAGGGAGTTAATAAATTACAAAATTATTCTCAGAAGAAGAATTATCATTCCAAATATCAGGGCCAGTAGCACTGCAGATTTACCAACTGTTTTATAATTACAGGGTCAGGGGACCTTTGTGAGACAGAAAGGCATAATAAACATATTTATATCTTTGCCCGAGTGAAAAGGCAAGCTCCTTCAAGTCAGACAAATTTCCAAAAAATTGGAACTCTTCAAAGTTGGAGACAAAAAGACAAAGCACTAGGACTCTCCCTTAATGAACAAGCTATTTACTACCACCAACACCACAAAGATTATAAAACAAAAGTAAGAACAATACATCAGTCTTATAAAGTTCACAAAGAACGCAACCTCATATGTAGCTACAAGATCACATTTCTTATTTGTTGGTCAGTTGATTGTATGATATTATTAAGGTACGGTATTCTGTTAATTCGTAGCTAGCTAGGTAATATCTTTTTCTGTTACAGTTTTGAGTATATGCTATTATTGTCACATTCTATGTATACACATTGGTTACAGGTTAAAGGGATACACATGTATCAGGTTATACCTCATACATATTAATCAAATGTTCAGTTTAGGAAATTCCAAAATTACATCAGCTACAATGATATAAAGATGACCATTATACATGTATGGGTTGTTTTTGACTTTTTTTTTCACGGACTGATTTACCTTCATATTGTACTTTGCTGATTTTTTTCAAAATTAAATAGATAACCAAAACAATCCCAACAAATTTGTTATCATTGTAGTTGATGTAAAATACCAAGGGGAGATAACTCAAACCATGAGGTGGGATCTGGACACTTACTAGTTTTCCTTCAGCCTGTGGTAAAGAAAATAATGCAAGACAAAAACACTAAGTAAGCATGTTAAAATGAACGGTTCACAGAAACACAGGGTCAACGTTTGTGTCAATATAGTGGGTAACAATATCTGTATACCAGAAAAAATGTGTTCCAATCTTCTGGACAACAGACAAAAAACCACTGTACAAATTACAACAATACAACACATCATGGCCGCACAAAAATAAACAAATCAGTCAAAATATCAGTAAAACAATTATTCCAATTAATCAAACACAATTTTTTTTTTAAAGTTATCAAATGGCTGTTAACCATGGTGCAAAATCAATCTCAAAACATCGAATGTTTTACGGGAAGCGTCACAAAAAAACATTGAAACACTTGGCACACTGATTCACCAATGAGCTCGGGCAAAAGGTCTAAAGAACAGCATGCACGCTATGGATGATATTGAAATACAAATGAGGAGGTGATAATGGTGTGTGAAAAAGATGAAATGACAAGTATAAACAGATAATGAAATAAAATGCACCATTCAAATTCAATTCAAAGTATGCCTTATACTGCAATATTTTTATCCCATCAATTTTTTCCCTTTAGCCTTTTAATTAGATTTAATCAAATCTGCCTACTGCTAAATTCACGTAACCATACTTTTGAGTTTTTATTCAGCCTATAGTTCAAGGGCGATAAGGAAATCGGAGCAGAAACATCTTGTTTTTAAATGGTGAAACTTTTAAATAGTGACATTTCTAATTTGAACCTTTCTATGGTAATACAGAACACCTTTTGAGTTGTTTATTCAGAAACTACCTGTCCCCACCTTTTGCTTACGGAGAACACTTTAGAAAACAAATCAAATTTCATCCTAGGCCCCTGTTCCTGTGTTTATACCAAAGTTGACATTTTTGTCCCGATACATTTTGTTCGCAGTGTTCTTTTATTACTACAATACATTAAAACTGGGACATTAACATTCTAAAACACCATATGTACTAATACAATGTGATGTTACCCACAGTTAACCCACAGTTATGAGTCAGAAATAAGCACCAACCTACAGTGATTAGACTTTTCCAATTTCCGCTTTCATACTCTTAAAACCTAAACAAATTCCCATACCTCCTGAAAACAGGTTTAAAACAACAAAAGGTTTCAACTTCAATAGACACCCTAAGATACCCAATACTTCTTTCTAAGTACAAAGAAGAGTGCCTTCTAACAACTAGGGATATTTACCACTGTGAGGGGGGTGTTTTACTATATGGTAGCAGTGTCCTTTTACAAAAGGTGTCTTCGACTATGACATGTGCACCCTACCACAACAGGGCATTCCCTTTTTGAAGGGACAGAGTGTGTGTCACTTTTACAAGGAGTGATTCCCACCATGATGTGGGGTGTACCCTACCACCAGGGTGTGTGTCCATTTACAAGGAGTGATTTCCCAGTATGATAGGAGCATACCTTACCACCAGGGTTGGTGTCCATTTACAAGGAGTGATTTCCACCATGATGTGGGGCATACCCTACCACCCGGGTGTATGTCCTTTCACAAGGAGTGATTTCCCAGTATGATAGGAGCATACCTTACCACCAGGGTTGGTGTCCATTTACAAGGAGTGATTTCCCAGTATGACAGGGGCATACCCTACCACCCGGGTGTATGTCCTTTTACAAGGAGTGATTTCCCAGTATGACAGGAGCATACCCTACCAACAGGGTGTGTGTCCTTTTACAAGGAGTGATTTCCCAGTATGATAGGAGCATACCTTACCACCAGGGTGTGTGTCCATTTACAAGGAGTGATTTCCCAGTATGACAGGGGCATACCCTACCACCAGGGTGTGTGTCCTTTTACAAGGAGTGATTTCCCAGTATGACAGGGGCATACCCAACCACCAGGGTGCATGTCCTAACACTAGTGGTGCTTTCCAACATACAACAGGTAACCTAACTTACCTTGAGTTTCTGAGCCTCTTCCCACGTCATGCCTTCCAGTACTCGTGACTGAGGTCCAGCGTTCACCTTCTCCTCGTAGTAATCCTTCCTAATCTGTATCAAACAGTTTCATGAAATTTGGGTCAGATATGAAGTCCTAGAATTACATGTTCAAACAGTTCAAGAATAGCTATTGGCTACGTTGATGGCTCTTAATATAACTAAACAGAAGCAAGAATCCACACTTAAAACCTGTCTGAAAAAACTCCATCATCAACTATAAGACTATAGGTTATTTATTTATTGACTACACGTTTCAGTGTAATACTGTTTACTGCGAAATTTTCTCTGCAGTTAAACATTTGCCTGTTTCACCCTCCGCATTGCGAGTAAATTAATCATTACAGCAAACATTATTAAACATAGGTATCAGATGTGAAGGACGATTATATGGGTTTTATCAGCGTAGGGCGAAAGTTACACTGGGCAAAATGTTCCTGGTAAACAACATTCTAGTTTATCAGTTACTAAACTGATGACATTGTGACAAGTCAGTGCTATTATCAACACAACTGGGATCTCTTTAAGTTTTGTGCTAAGCTTGTTAAAATATCTCTTTAAGTTTTCGTGCTAAGCTTGTTAAAATATCTCTTTAAGTTTTCATGCTATCCTTCAACTGATACTGTATTGATCTGCAAATAAGCCCCCACCCCTAGTGAAAAAAGATTTACCAAAAGTAGGGAGGGGATTAATTGAAGGCACTCGCCCTGTTCAAAGGACATTTGCAAAAGTTGGGAGGGGACTTATTTGCAAGTGGGGGCTTACTTGTGGTCAAATACGGTAGTGACACACACCAACATTGATAGCCATTACCTGTTTTTGTCTCAGTTTGAATTCCTTAGGATTGTCACCAAGTGGTGCAAATTGATTAGCGTTTTCTACTTTTATTGACATGGCCGCTCGCTTTGGAGATTCTTCATCCTCCTGTACCCACTGTTAACAGAAAACATCAAATTCATTTGGTTGAGTTTTCCACATCTGTCAATGTATGAGGCTAACAATGGAAACTATTGAGGATGGTTAACATGAAATGTCGGGTCAATATACAGCCCAAATTCCTTTTTCTATGCACATTTGTAAGTAACCCTAATATGTTACCCTGGTGCATGATCATGATAGGTGACCTTGGTGCACTATCTTGATACATGACCTTGGTACAAGGTCTTAATGTGACCTTGACACATGACATTAATATGTAATATCAGGATCATGATAAGTGACCTTTGGATACGATCTTAATCTGTATATCTAACCTTGGTCACAGGTGCATGACCTTGGAAAGTGATATTGGACATTGTACCAAGTGTTTTGAATCATAAAACATCAATGTACATAAAAGTCTAAACACACTTCAAAACTATGGAGGGGTCGGACAAGTTACAACTCAATACCTTAGTTATTTTTTTAGGGTTTGTTGTGCCAGTCTCTTCCATCTCTTGCTTGATGTAGTTGTTTGGGGAGTTGAGCCAGCCAGCCTTGTAATGTTGCTTCTGTTTCTCCAAAGCCACTTTGTATGGGGACCTACAGGAACCAGTATCAGTCATATATAAATGTACAAGTCTACAAAATCGTAAGGTGGGATAATTCTCTAAAAAACTTTTTTCCATCATACCAAGATATAGAAATTCTTTTAGAAATTCTTTTTCCGCATTCTACATAAGTGTTATGGGACAAAATGTAAAGAATGTATAAATGAATGCATTCGTTAAACACCAGAACTGCTTTTAGTAACACACATTGTAGAACTAAATCTGTCATTACCAGTAGTTTCTCCTATGTCGAAGGCTCAGTAATAACCAGAACAAGAACGTATAGCCCCTTCGACCACTCAAACAAGATTTTCCTTCGGACTTTCCAAGTTCAGTGTTACTTTAGTTTTCAGAACTACTGTTAGACATGTTCGTGCGGTAATCAACGGTTGACATATACTTACATGTATTGTGAATTTTCGTAATCGCCTTCAAACATGTGCGATAGGTTGCTAGATGCGGGAGGTTCTGCCACTTCATTTGAACGATCCCGTCTGATTTCTTGTTTGAGAATTGGCTGTCTATAAACGTAGCCTGTTCTGTAACCCTGAAAACCATAGAACAACACTTATCAGTAACAAATTAATTAAGTCAAATAACGGATGATCCAAGAGACAATGCAACATGCAACTAAACAGGTTCACTTAAATCGCAGTAATAGCGAAACCCATCTTCGAATTCGCTAGCCAAGTGTTTGCTTTGTATACACGCCACTTACCCTTGGCAGATATAGCCGTGTTAACCGAGCCTTCACATTTTCGTGCGGTGCCAATCGCTCGCATCCAATGAAATCGCATCTTACATATAGCGCTGTTGACAAAGGAAAACAGTAATGGCGACGCCCTGTACGGAAGCACACTGTCATTTATGTCAGAGTGTTTTGCCCCAAAAAGTAGGCGCACAATCTTTAGGGAAACTTCTGGAGTGTTAAATCAGTTGGTGGAAATCCTTGACTACCTGCATGTAAATGATGACCTGGGAAAATATGTGTGCTGCCTTTGGATTGTTTCCATATTGCTCTGTCATTTATACTCCGCCTCGACATACACATGCTTATGTCAACATGCCGATGGAGTGTATATGTAACGGTCATTCTGCTTGGAGAAGTGCGATAACTGGGTATATCCGCTAGGTGGCAGTGGAGGGAATTATGAAAACATGGCTATATCTGCCAAGGGTAATTAGTGGAGTGTATACGAGGCGAACACTTGGCTAGCGAAGATGAGTTAAACCATGCTAAGATGTGTCAGTTTGTCTGAACACAAGTTATTATCTTGGCACAAACAGCCCTGATTGGTCAATCAACTTCATGTTTATTAATGGGATCTTCGTGTCAGCAAGTTTTAAGAATGAGCAAGAGAAATAATGTCAGAACTAAGAAACTATATTTTACCAGAAATTTTGAAATTAAATGTGGAAGGGAATTTTGAAATTAAGTATGGAAAAGTGTAAGTAATAAAAGATAGAATTTTCAATAAAATTTCACAATTAAACATCTGTTCAAGTACTTCCTGAGAAATTCTTTTAAAATGATGTTAATTAGGGCAAAAGTTTGTGTACTTACAACATTATCTAGCTGCCTCATTTGGGCCTCAAACTCGAGTTCTCCGGGCCGCCACTTCTTTCCTCCAGTGTCCACACCACCGCCTCCCTGGCTTCCCACCATAAATGTCTTCTTGCGAACCTCGGAGTCAACGAGGACTAGGTTGTCTAGTCCAGCAGGCACAGCTTTCACCTGTAACCAAAAAGGGGTTAATGATTAGCATACCTGACAGTACAGGTGAGTCTCTCTTTAAAGTCTGTTTAGATCAGCTCGTCACCTCCTAAGGGGAGATAACCTTATGCAGGTGTGTGTAATATTGCAAACATATGTCATAAAACAATACAATGAATAGCTCATAGAAAGAAACAATATATTACATTTGTCACAATTGGGAAAGTCTTACGGATTTAAAGAGAAGGACTATACCCCCCATAGTCTATTTTTAGTATCAGTGCCCTTGACCTTAGAAATCTTTTTTAAATCCTTATTGCACATCTACACATTACAGTGTATTGAAATGACAAATTTCAGAAAGATTAGTCTTTCAGATTCCAAGATAATTTCAGGAAACAAAAGTGTGGACAGACAGACAGATGCATCTCTGATGTGGGGCCCAAATTAGTAAAGACAACAGATTACAAAAGGCGATAACCATTGATTTGTAACATACTGTTGATAGATGGGAGAAGAACCATCCCCTATGGCGAGAGTATGCCTTAAGACAAAGATGTCTTCCTGAAATTATTTACCTGTGAAGAAGGAAGATGTCTTTATTTTTGACCTTTGAAGGTAAAAGTATTAAAGAAATAGTCTACTTTTTATGGTACAGGTCTACCTGTAATAGTTTACCTGTGACTATAACAGTTTACTTGTGACCATAGCAGTATACCTGTGACCATAGCAGTATACCTGTGACCATAGCAGTATACCTGTGACCATAGCAGTATACCTGTGACTGTAATAGCTTACCTGTGACTAACAGTTTACTTGTGCCTGTAAGTTTATCTGTGACTGTAACAGTTTACCTGTGACTTTAATAGATTACCTGTGACTGTAATAGATTACCTGTGACTGTAATAGATTACCTGTGACTATAATAGTTTACCTGTGACTGTAATAGATTACCTGTGACTGTACTAGTTTACCTTTGACTGTAATAGTTTACCTGTGACTGTGACAGTAATTGATTACCTGTGACTGTCAAAACTTACCTGTGATTCACATGCCAACATAACATTATTGGCGTAGTGGTAGGCCTCCTCTGTTGTCACACCGCATGCCACCACTCCGTGGTTCCTTAGGAACATCACCTGTAACACATGACAAAGTGATAATATAATTCATCGAAGTATCGCACACTGATCTACAATGCAATAATATAGAATAAAACCATACTAAAATGATCAATATCTAGCTAATCATCTTTATGTAACAGATAATAAAATCAATTTATTCATTTAGTGCTAATCGAAAATCAATACATTTCACATCACTGGAATTGACATTCTTTGTCATAAACATAAACAAGAGGCCCATGGGCCTTATNAGAAGAAGTCGAAAATGTAAATTGTTTACGGACGCACGACGGACGACGACGGACAAAAGGCGATCGCAATAGGTCACTTGAGACTTTGTCTCAGGTGACCTAAAAATCTTCAATTCGATTTAAATATTTTCAAATTTAAAAAATAACTTTCTATACTAGTTCTAGTTCCATTGGCATTTATTTATTTAATAACACTTTGTAAATCAAGTATATGCAGGGGCATGGAAGAATCCTGTAATCAGTCTGTGTGGACTACTATGTATCGTGATATAAATATGCGGACCATGGGATGTAGCCTATATCTTCAAGGTTTTCACCTATTTTTGAGGTTCCAGACTATATCTTTTAGGATGTAGCCTATATTTGAGGTTGCAGCCTACTGTATATCCCTAGAAATTTAATCTATATCTGAGGTTGCAGCCTGTATCTCTCTGGGTGTAGCCTATATCTGAGGTTGCAGCCTATATCTGTCTGGGTGTAGCCTATATCTGAGGTTGCAGCCTATATCTCTCTGGGTGTAGTCTATATCTGAGGTTGCAGCCTATATCTATCTGGGTGTAGCCTATATCTGAGGTTGCAGCCTTTATCTCTTAGGACTTCATCTATATCTGAGGTTGCAGCCTAAATCTCTCAGGATGTAATATATATCTGAGGTTGCAGCCTATATCTCTTTGGATGTAGCCTATATCTGAGGTTGCAGCCTAAATCTCTCAGGATGTAATCGATATCTGAGGTTGATGCCTAAATCTCTCAAGATTTAATTTAGAGCTTAGGTTGCAGCCTAAATCTATTTGGGTGTAGCCTATTTTTGAGGTTGCAGCCTAAATCTCTCTGGGTGTAGCCTATTTTTGAGGTTGCAGCCTATATCTCAGAGGTTGTAGGCTATTTATCTCTTGAGGATGAAGCCTTTACCTTCCATGTTTTATGTATGCTCAGACAACACTGACCTTATTTATTGGTCCTAGGTTTCTCTGTAAGGCATCTCGCTCATTCTGGTCAACCAAGATCCCCTGGTAATCATGGTAGCTCACTTCTCCGCAAATTATCGCCTCTTGGGACAGCGGCAGAAATCCACATTTCATAACAGATACAGCTACAGCCTCAGGTGTGTGTAGATGGACGATGCACCGGATGTCGGGTCGAGCCTGGTGGATGGCGGAGTGAATGGTAAAGCCAGCTCTGTTGATGCCAAGAGTTGTTGTGCCCTGGTCCACGACCTCACCCTGCATGTCGACCTTGACAAGGGACGAAGCTGTGATCTCCGTGTACAGCAGGCCAAACGGGTTTATCAGAAAGTGCTCGTGCTCCTGGTTAATTCTCGCCTGCAATCGAAACAGATTTTACATTGAACGTTATTACGTTTTGTCTATGATAGGTTTAATGTTTTTTTATAGACACAGACAAACATGTTTGAACCATGGGTATCTTAAAAACAGCCATTTACACAATTATTTCTATCATGTTCATCGAATTCTAGTTAGTAAATTTTCAAATTCTCCATATGCAATTTGAAAATTAACTGAGAAAATTTAAAAAAAACATCATAACCAGCCATCGTGAGTTTCAAGGTCTGTTTTTCAAATAATGTTTATATCATATCTGAAAACCATGTTTCTCTTAGAAATTCATAATTCTTATTATCGATTGGAGAAAACAGCAGCCATGAATTATGACATCACAATGGAAAATGTTGTCGCAGAGCACTGTTACTTGACGTCATGTTATTATCCATGTATGGCAAGCGACAGCTCCAGCTCGACATGCACGTTCAAAGACGTAAATTGTTTTGTCATGCCAATTTTGGACCAAGTCTATTTCCAGTTGTAATAATGCCATTAAAAATTTGCAACACATATTTTCGCTTTGCTTCTACTGTTACTGTATGTATCGTATTGTGACCGCAATTTCGTGATACGTATTGTATTGTCATATTAATACATCGTTGCAGCCCCACGTCCTGGAGGGTACACAATAAACACAAACTCTTGGAGAGATACTCAATCTGTATATTGCTACTCACGCTGATGTGGTTATAGATGCCCTGCGTCCAGCCCTTCATCTCAATAAGTCTGTAGAGAGCGGCCACCTTACATCGCAGCAGTTTTTCCCCTTTGCAGTACTGGATCGTATCCGTGCCGTGGATATCTGATATTGGAATGACGGGGCCAGAAGCTGCAAAGATCAAACGAGAAAGTTACCGAACACTATTTTTTGTATCTATTAACATTTTTTTCATAATTCTATTATAAATGATTATTCTATTATATCTATTCTTCACACATATAATAATCTCCTGTTATCACAAATGCTAGTTCCTGAAGATTTCCATTTTGTTTCTTGATTTGTTCAAAATTATTACACGAGAACCTGTATCTTCCGTATATCGATGATGTAGTTTTGTTCACACGGAAAGTTCTCAAGAAAGTAGAAATGAAAACTTCTATAGTGGCAAGATTACAAGGTTAAAATATTGAAACATTGGCTCTATCGATGTTGTGCAGTTAACTCAATCACCCCTGAAATTTCATAATGAACTATTCCAACCTTTGAATTGGAAAGGTTCAAATGTGTGTTCAGGGGTGAATGCGTTAAGTTGGTCTTACATTGCCTGGCACGGCTCATGTGGTTTCTGGGGAGGAGGAGATCGGAGATCTGCTGTAGGGCGAGGAGACTGGCAGGGTGGGGCCCCGACTTGATCTGCTCGTCCACGATCTCCTCCAGCTCCTTACGAAAGGCCTCACTGTTGAGGATGAGGGACACGCGACTCCGGTCCTCCATGTGCTTCACATCTTCCCGCACATCTGTAGGGCGCCTCATGCGTTTCTGATACTCAGGGTCATCTGGATCTGTGGTAACGAATAATTATCATTTGACATGGTTCACAGACTTCTTCTTTGTAGAATTGTGGCCTACATGAAGAATGCATTTTAGCCATATTCACGCTAATACAACCTTTTGTACTGTTTAAGTGATACTTGTTTTTTAATGGTCATCACGATGAGTTTGCCTTCATTCTTGTGGATAAAAAGGGTGAATGATAAAGACTGGCAAATATGTCCCAGTATCATATTAAAACAGATTATCCAGAATAAATGTATCATATTTGTNAAAAAAAAAAAAAAAAAAAAAAAAAATACAAACAAACAAGTCGGTTATATGACCTAACTGTGTCAGGCCAAAATGTACTTTTGAGTCACAAGGCCCTCAAAGTGTTAAAAAAAGGAGTGTGGGGGGGGAGCATTTATAATTTGATTTTTTGAAGGGAATGCACACAATCCGATACACTGAACACTGTATAATGTTAAAGCTCTTCTACAAACAGATTTAGAAGGCCAGTACATGTACAGGGGGACAACAGACCGACTTTTTAAACATTGACACAGCACACCCCCCCCTGTGTCACAGTCGGTCCCTAACCCTCCATAATGATAGGCTTTAACCCGTGATGACAGGTCCACAATCAACACTGTTGACAAACGAGTTTTTAGTACAGTCCCCAATATGATTCATCACACCCCCATTCAGCCCACCAGGTGAAAACTGCTACGTTGCTGTCAAATACTGCTGCAGTGCACTATATAAAATTCACCGATATATATCTCAACTACAAGGCCCAGGTGATCAAAGCACTGTCAACTTAACAAATCAACTCACAAAAATGTTTACACATCCTATACATTTTAAAATACACACTTATGATATTTCTTAAAGAGTGATCAATTCAATTCTTGTTGTGTATTTTTTGTTGATGTAATACTTTGAACCTGCTTTTAATCAGATATAGCAGTTGTTAATCTATTGTCTCCACAGAGTCAGGATTTTAACAACTGACCATGGAGGAGGTATAGATTACGACTGCTGTATTGACCCTACAGTCTGGTACATAATCTCCACATGCCTTCTGTACTAGGATATAAACCCAAACAAAGTGGTTTACCTTAGATTGAAAAGATTTATTCAGAATTACTGAAAAATAATGAAAGATTTTTTTCTATTGTAAAACATGCTATATATATAGCCAACTCAGATTCTCCATTATCCCACTGGTCTCCCAAATTTTAACTCATTCACCCCTACATATTTAAAATGGACTTGCCCAGTCTATGATTTGGTAAGGTTCAAATGTGACTTTATGGGAGGATGTGTTGACAATTTGTTAAATTAAGTTCAACTTGAATCAAACATTAACTTCTGCTAAAAAGTTTTTGTCAGTCAAAATATCTTTGTCCTCAACATGAAGACCTCTAATAGCAACATTAGAACTTTGTTATTCAAGCTATAAGCAGACCTCGAAATTAGTATGCTTTTTTAGTTTCATGGTTTCGTTTTTTGTTGTTTTTGTTTTTATTCTGTTTGCCCAGTTTAGAGCAGTGTACATCTGACTATTGTCTTTAAACAAAGGAACACGAGATATAGATCTACTGTAGATTCTATTTCAACTGGTTGAATGTAAGTTATGTGCAAAACAAAACCTATAATATCCGGGATCCACTTTCTTGACAACATAAAACTATGTGGAGCTGTTCTATACAATGAATTCATTGAATTTGAGCAGACACAGGATACAGGAGAACAATCAGATTCTTCCTCCAAATAGACAGACTTAGAAAGTACTTGTGTTAGACAAGACAACCTCTTGGGGCATAGTCTTGGGGCATAGTCAAGACACCTTCTCATGCTCAAACCCTGATTCTTTGCTCAAGCCAATTTTCTTGTGCCAGTGTTAAATTAATATATAATTCATGTTCTGTCAATGATATGAGAGTAATTTCATGTTTCATAATTTAAGAAAGTTTACAAGAAAGACGGTTTGATCAAAGAATTCATGCTGTAGCATAACAGTTTCATGAATACGATCCCAGATCATCTGTCTTCTGATCATCGTGTCATCCCTTTGAACAAAAGCCAGGAGAACATCAATGGGACCCACTTTTAACCAAAAGAGTTGATCATGGGGCATGTCATGCATTCCTGTTCATGTCTGGTTAACTTCCAAGGGCATCTGGTAGGGATGTACTCTATAAGATCTACATTCCGTCACATTCAACATCTTTGTTTGAAACCTTGTCCCTCAAAATAATTCCAAAAGATAAGGGTTCAAAAATCTAAAATGATTTAATTTGGAATCATTGTGGTTGAATGACTATTTCAGCGTAGATGAAACGCTTTCCTTGAGGCAAAACCCTCGTCAGTAAATTAAGAATGTGTTACCCTGAACCAACCCATCAGATCTAAATTGACTGCCAAACGAGCATGTCTGGCTGCAATAAACCGATATATTCAAGTACAAGCACTTCAAGTGCATGGACAAGGTCTTGTTTGTTCTCTGACAATTATAATCAAGTTCTAACACACAGCCTGTGGGCCGATATAGAAACAGCAACACATTACTGAGTACTATAAATACAAGATAAATATCTATCTAAATATATAGGTTAAGGTCATAGTCAGGATGTCTTCTGACTTATAAAACTATTTGAATGCAGGGAGGCAACCAAATTAACTCCCTCGACCAAATAACTGAGTTTAGCATCTGTTTAGTTTCCTGGGGAAGATCTTCCCCTTAGTATAGTATCAATGTATTACTCCGGGGGATTCACACTTTGCCTATTGTGTATCTATCTATTTCCCTTACATAAATCTGAAAAAAAAATCTTTTATCATCTATAAATTTAATAATGTGAGGGAAAGAGGAGTGGGGTTGGAAAATGACTTACCTATATATATTGTGTATCTAAGTACACCACTGAAGGGGAGGGGGGAATAACCTAAACCATCCATTTATTTTCCTGAGTATGACTTCCTTATAATGTCTATGTATTTCCCTGAGGGGGACTTACCTATAATGTCTATGTATGTCCCTGAGGGGGACTTACCTATAGTGTTTATGTATTTCCCTGAGGGGGACTTACCTATAATGTCTATGTATTTCCCTGAGGGGGACTTACCTATAGTGTATATGTATTTCCCTGAGGGAGACTTACCTATAGTGTCTATGTATGTCCCTGAGGGGGACTTACCTATAATGTCTATGTATTTCCCTGAGGGAGACTTACCTATAGTGTCTATGGAATTCCCTGAGGGAGACTTACCTATAGTGTCTATGGATTTCCCTGAGGGAGACTTACTTATAGTGTCTATGGATTTCCCTGAGGGAGACTTACCTATAGTGTCTATGTATTTCCCTGAGGGGGGGTTAGAAGGCCCATTCGTCTGAGGGCCATTCTCCGTCATCCTTCCTTACTGTTTAATGTCCTGCAAATTACAAACAAACAAAAAATCATATAAACTTTGCCGATAAAAAATGTAAGCAGCATAGATAAATTGGGATAATAAGCTTTGACCAGTGTTTAAAATTGCAAGTGGCATGCAAGCATAACTTAAGGCAAATACAAGTTGTATCTTGTAACCTAGTTTATATGAGAAGTTACAGAAATGTACGGAGATTAATTTTTTGCAGTCTGTTAAATATATCTGTTTTTTCTCATTGTGGTATTTATGACATGAGAAAAAACAGACTTGAAACATAACCTGTTGTATACTATCTGTCTATGGACGGTCCCTAGAGCTCGCTCTCTGTCACATAAAACCTGCTGTTTTAGATGTCAGATTCACCGAATTCTACAGTGACACCAAACTGATAAACAACATTCATATGGCAACACACACTAAAACTTGCATGAAAAACAGCTAATTTCTACAGATTAACTTGTTTTTGTAACTCAACGTTGTGATTTCCATATTACAACATCCTCATACATATACACCACGGCAGCGGTTTGCCCTTTATGTGTAGGAAATGATTAAATCCAGTTATGTTATCATTCTGCCAACAACTGCATCGATACCAATCATCCAATGCAACCACAGACCTATTAAGCTCGTGATAATCCTATGTCTAGCATAAAATTCCACTCTGCTCTTTTCAGCAAATTTTACCGCAAATTTTTTCACAAACAGCAGATGAAATCCATATCAAAATAATTCATGGAATAAAATTTTGGATACCAAAATATCCATTATAGATAGAAATAAGGCATAACTGGTAATGTGGCTATATTTTAGCCCAGGAGACTAGATAGAAATAAGGCATAACTGGTAACGTGGCTATATTTTAGCCCATGCGACTTGATAGAAATAAGGCATAACTGGTAATGTGGCTATATTTTAGCCCAGTAGACTAGATAGAAATAAGGCATAACTGGTAATGTGGCTATATTTTAGCCCAGAAGACTAGATAGAAATAAGGCATCACTGGTAATGTGGCTATATTTTGCAACAGTTTTCAGGAAGTATTTAAAATCTTTGTAACAAGGGATAGGATTAAAACTGAGCATTTCCTTCTAATCATCACCAACAACACACTGTAACGCATTGATAATGACCTCTAGCATCTTCAGGTAAACAAACTGAAGTGACAGAAGACATGAAGCAGAACATTATGTATTTAGTAGTCCATATGATAATGTCATTTTAATAAATCACTTGTTGACATCAATGTTAAAGGTCAGTGGGTAAACAGATTTGCTGACATCCATCATGTAGAAAGTTTATATAAGAGTAGCGGGAGGGACTGGTCGTAATGTTTAATGCTGGTTTTATACATACAGGCTGGTAGATATTACACTCTACGCTCGGGAAAGGATAATCTTACCTCATAAACTTCATAAATAAAGCTGTCACAATGATTCAATGACAATGGTGTAACCATATCACATTCTTACTAAAATAGAGAACCAGTACCGACTGGCTGAGCCTTTTTGATTAGTAATTACACTGCATGCAGTAGACTTGCACAAGTCAAATAATGAGTAAGCTGATCATTGATTTTACATCAGAAGAAATAAGAATGGGCGGAGTTGGAAGCACATAGCCTGTGATGAGACTACATGATGCAATGTGATTTTGTAATGAGAGATATCTTACAGCTTCAAACCAAGAAGGTTCCACTATGAATCAAATCTGGGTATGTTCTATTTAGCTAATAGGGTGTCCTCAATTAAACTCCTCCTAATTTCTAATACATATACCTCTCTCTTGTCTAAACTCTATCTACCTGTGCCCCCCNCCCCCCCTCCCTACCTCGAACGTGCACATCCTCGATCCACACACAAGATAACCCCTTATTAGATTAACTCCCTTGCAGACCAACATGCAAGGAAAAACATTTAAGTAAAACCAATTTATGCCAGTCCAAGAAAAACAAAACGTGACATTCCTACGGCTGAGATAACAAATGAATCACCCTCTACTACTGAAATATCAGCCCACTTCTACATTACAGTAAGGCATATCAAGGAGTGGATTCTAGGCCTAGAGTAATATCTGTTAGCTTAATCCTCTTTCTAGTTTCACTTTCAGTTGAACTTATTCACCCCGGAAGACACATTTGAACTCTTTCAATTCAAAGGTTGGAATAGTTCATTATGAAATTTCAGGGGTAAATGAGATTAAAAATTCTTCTCTGTGTTTCAAATAAAAGTTTTTACATATGTAGCAAAGATGCATTTTAATTTGACATAGAAATTGTAAGGAATTTAATTTCAATTAGATTTTTTGGAAATCTAATAAATGTTTTAATTTTTTCCCTATCAATTTGCAGGTACAATACAAATTTAGAACATATGATAAACCACATGAACCAAGTTTCATGTGTAGGAAAAATTTCACAAGTCACTCTAACCTAGGGTTGACTGGCGTATTTCATTACAAGATAGAGAGATATTTGTATACAACATACATATGAAACAAGTCAACTGTGACATGTTGGTACACCGTGGAAGTTGTTGTAAATAGCCAGAAAAGTTTGTTACTAATAAAATTTTCTACACTACAGCTGTAATAAAACAGCTCAATATCTAAGAAGTTTTCACTTTCTACAGTAAACTGTACTGATGAAATTGAGAGTATACTAAGGAATGAAGCTACCAACCATGTATCGATCTACCCCTCAGCAAGATACGTTTGATCTAGAGGGCAACACAGCAAAAACATAGGCAATCAGCACAGGGGTAAAACAACTACATGACTTAATACACAAACAAACTGAGAAGTATAGAAACTAAGTATTCATAAGGTTTTAGGGGACTGCCATTAGAGCTTTAGTCACATATCTATAAAACTTTTAAACATGGAAAACATACAGTCAGAAAATTATCTGATGCTAATTCTCCAGCAGAAACAGTACAGAATTACATATCAAATTAGCCGCGACAGCATAAACATCCAGTAAACATGTAACCCATACACTCCAGTTTATTGACCAGTATAGTGTTACAAATCGCTACACACCGACACATGTGGCCTGATGCTTTACTGATAACTTATGGTAAATACTACTACACACGCTATACCTAACTACATCACAGGTTCTTTAGACCTAGCTCCGCACACACATCCGTCTGCATCACAATATTGATATGTCGTAAGTGGAAAGTGTACCCAATGGACCGTTACTGTAATTATTTGTTTAGCCTGGATTCCTAGGACTTGTTAGCATGCAATGTTTAAATTGGCAATCGTTTTCTGATAATTGTGATAAATGTGGTAACCATTTGAATGCTGTAGACCATAATGAACTCTACCATATCAATGGATGGTAGAATCTACTTCAGTTACATAGGGTGTGAAAGGGTTAAATCATCATTTTGTACCATATAATCTCTGCATGCCTGTACTAATTTTATTTTCATCAAAACTGTTCATTTTCAGATTAAAATGATTTCAAGCCAGAAATCAAATCAAAACAAAAACAATTTTGAATTTCAATCTGACTTAAAGGTTTGCAGCATCACTTACTTAACAATTACCCTGTAAGTTGTCAATATTGGGATCAAATTGTACTCTTATTTATACAAAGTAAACCATGTCTGTCCATCAGGCATTCCTTAAAACACGGATGCCAGCATGAACACAATCTATTACAAGACAGATTTCTTCCACATCTTTTCAAATTCAAACAAAAGACAATATATCATTGCAGTCATATACCATCATTAAGCATGTTGAGGATGACATAAATAATAAATATGCAACAGAAAAGCATGCTGTGATGTAACTTCCAAACGGCAGGAACCAGTCTATATTTTAGGTGGCGCTATCATGTTGTTTGAGGGCAAACCTTTTGCCATAAAGCTATAATCAATAAGGTTTTCTCCTACTCTGTAACATTACATGAAGTCTGATCGGTTAGCCATCTGCTGGGGAGAATGTCACTGTTACTGTATAAGTTTCCTGCTGATCGGAGAGATCCCACTCCAGCCTAGGCTTCTAGTAACCAGCTGTGCTCCCCAAGTCTGTTTGGGTGTTTTCAATATATCTTTATTGTTGTTTCCTACGCTAAAAACAAAACCCTGCACACAAGTTGTAAACAACACAAACAGCTAAGATAAACTTGCAGAAAAAATGCAAAGTGTTAACAGACGATTTTGGAGAACACCCAATACTGAAAGCCGCTGATTGTGATGAAGTTGCACAAAAAGCATTGTATGAAACTGATAACCAACTTGAAATATCAAAACGCTTTCTCAAACTTCTGTTATTTAATCTTCTCATGATATTGGCATTATTGCAGAGTTTCTGCTGATGGCTGTTGACATTAGGCTAGGGCTTTCTCCACAAATGATCTTTTAGTTCTAAAACCCCAAATCTCTGGGTCTGTAGAAACAGTGTGTCGCATGCATTACCCAACAGAGCAGGTAAACTTTCTCAGATTTTTCAATATACATGCAGGATATACTTTGTTAATCCATTCACCCCTTAAACATTTGAACCTTACCAGATCATAGACTGGTTAAGTTCAGTTTACATATGTAGGGGTGAATCATGAATGAGTGAATAGGGTCATTTGTTGTTTGCAAATGACATTTGGGGATATGTGCAAAGTGACACATACAAGACGATGTGGGAATGCTATTTTTCTATAATGTTGGCATTTCACATGTATATAGGCAATGAATTACAAATGTGATGCCTTAAAAATAATTGAACACTGCTGACGCAATTGTATGGAAAGCAAGTTGCATGTTCGTTTGAATAATTCTGCAGGTATTCATGAGCACAGTATGAAATTCTGTAATGTTAAAATATTCATAATAATATTATACAAATCTACTTTCAGACATCAGTGATTTGACGTGTCATCATATTTTATTATCCCTGCCTGCTGTTCCAGTCTGCAGCTCGCAGAAAAACAACCTCTTAAGCTACGTGTGCATACACAGGTGTCGCAATATATTCTTGGTATACATGTGTAC